CCTCTGGAGGGCAAGTGTTGTTTGTCCACCAGAGTAAAGTGAGTACTTTTTAAATGTTTTGACTGGACATGTTTAATAGCAAAATGTCAAAAATGTTTTTTTCTCAAAATTGTCGGTCTTTTTTTTTTTTTTTATAGCGCAAAAAATAAAAACCGCACAGGCGATCAAATACCGAAAGAAAGTTCAATTTGTGGGGAAAAAAGACGTAAATTTCATTTGGATACAGCGTTGCATGACTGCGCAATTGTCAGTTAAAGTAACACAGTGCCATAACGCACAAAATGGCATGGTCAGGAAGGGGGGCAAATCCTCTGGAGGGCAAGTGGTTAATGAAGGGCGAGGTCAGGGGCAGACTGACCGAGTGCCCAGGGTCAGGAGGAGGCCCCATGAGATGCCCCTAGTACCTTTCATAGGCTTTTTTGGGTGCTGTTTTGAGTGTGGGGGAGGACACAGGGGCCCCATGATCCACTATTGCCCAGGGGCCCCATGAGTTGTCAGTCAGCCCCTGGGCGGGGGGGGGGGGGGATTGAGGAGTCCTGCGTGAGCGGGCTCAGTCAGCTTGCATTGTGTGCGCAGGGAACTGCCGAGCCAATCGGAAGTCAAAGAGCAGCCTGTAGTGTGCATTCGCCAACCAAACGCTTTCTTCTGAATTTACAAAGCAGCCAAATGGCTTCGTCAATGGTGGCCGCCATACACCTCAAGGGAATCGGTCATTGGGGAGTCCCACCTCACCTAGTTTTGGTGCTGTTTGGACATATCGCAGCAACAACTCTGCTCAGTTATAATAATCTCTCATTTCAGATTCTTCTATAATCCCCCCAATGACCGATTCCCCTGAGGTGTATGGCGGCCACCATTGACGAAGCCATTTGGCTGCTTTGTAAATTCAGAAGAAAGCGTTTGGTTGGCGATTGCACACTACAGGCTGCTCTTTGACTTGCGATTGGCTCGGCAGTTCCCTGCGCACACAATGCAGGCTGACTGAGCCCGCTCACGCAGGACGCCTCTCACAATAGCCGGCTGTATACCGAGCCATGTGGCAAATCGACTGAGTGCTGATCAAATGCCCCCCGCTGAAAACGTGGCGCGGCTTGTAAGTTCTCTTCTGTTAGGAGACAACCGATTCACAGCACCCTCTCCCTTCATCCTTTGTTCCCTCACTTCCTCCTAATACATCGGCTTCAAAGCCTCGGCGTCTGCCAGTACAAGGTTTCAAGACTTTCCTTCCCAAATAAAAAAAAAAAGAAAAAGGAAATAAAAAAGAAGGCTATTTGCTTTGTTATGACCAACGTTCGGGGCTCACAGCATGAAAGCACCGTGGGGGGGGCCAAATAAAAGTTTGTCCGGAACGAAGATGCACAATGTTCCGGAGAAAACAATTAAGGGTTGCGTGGCCTATTTAAATGGACCTCGGCGTGACACGCAACGGGTACGGAGTTCATATTACAAAGAACAAGACAGACTTCGGAGTTTCTCCAGCAGGGACAATCTTCTTCTTAAAGGATAATTCCATTTTTAAAACAGAACTGACTTTTGAAGAGAAGAATAATGTCATTTTTATATTGCCAAGATGTACATAGGGCAACATACTGTATGCAAAGAAATGATAGAAATATTACGATTCACCGAGGAACTAGAGACCATACTAAGGTCATTGAGCTCAGTGGGCGACATATCCTTAGAGCTCATTCACAGTCGCTGCTGGGGGGGGGGGGGGGGCGTTGTAAAATCAGGTGGTTGAGCTGCAATTTTACCAGCTAACTGAATAAGGGCATGTAGCAGCTCAGGGCTCACCTTGGCTGTGATGCCTTGCAAAAATTAAATGGCATATCGGTAATGCTGCCGAACACAGCCCATTCAAGTGAATGGGACTGTGCCGCAGCCACACTGTAACTTCATGCAATGGATGTGGTTGCATGTTGAGGGTTAAAAAATATTGCCCCCTCACTGCCTGTGCTGCCTTCCAAAAATGAAAAGGCATGTACAGGGCTGCCATCAAAACCACGGGGCCCCATACCGCCAACCTGACAGGGCCTTCACCCCCTCCCCCTTGCAAAAATAAACCACAGTTTACTATGCTTCATTTATGAATGAAGACTGAGTGATCGGTACTGGTTACTCATTGTGTTCATTCAGGAAAGGAAGGGGCTGGTACAGGGGCGGAGTGACCATTCGAGAACTCGGGCACTGTCCGAGGGCCCGGGGTCAGTAGGGGGCCCCATGAGATGCCCCTGGTACCCTTCATAGGCTTTTTTGGGTGTGGTTTGAGTGTGGTCAAGGACACAGAGGCCCCATGATCCCCTATTGCCCGGGGGCCCCATGAGTCAGTCCACCCCTGGGCTGGTAAATATGACATTTTCCAGACTCTCCCCAACTCTCCATCCTGAAGGATTCTATTGTGTGTTTGCAGCAGCCTGTAGGAAGGAGAGGAGGGAAGGTGGCAGTACTGTGGGGGTGGGGGCGGGGGCACACAGGGAAACAGTGCACAGGGATGGTGATGGGTGTGGTGGGGGGCAATCACTGGAACCGATCCCCTGTATGGCTCTCTCTGCAGCAGCTGAAAGCCAGCGGGTGGGAGAGGAGAAGAAGACAGCTTTCAGCTGCTGCAGAGAGAGCAACATAGGGGATCAGTTCCAGTAATTGCACCCCCCTGCTGTGCTGATCACTCTCTGGGCCTACATACAATTCCCCCAGATCCTGGGCCCCCTGCTGGCCTGGGCCCCGTACAGGAGGACTGGTAGTACCCCCTTATCCATGGACCTGGGCATGTAGGTATGGTTGCCAAACTCAACCCATTCACTTGAAAGGGGTTGTGCCACAACCAGGGGCGGACTGACCATTTGGAAACTTGGGCACTGCCGAGGGCCCGGGGTCAGTAGGGGGCCCCGAGATGCCCCTGGTACCTTTTTCATAGGCTTTTTTGAGTTTGGGCAAGGACACAGGGGCCCCATGATCCCCTATTGCCCGGGGGCCCCATGAGTTGTCAGTCCACCCCTGGCCACAAACACGCTGTTGCCTTACAAAAATGAATTGGTATGTAGTTACCACTGCAGGATGCGACCCATTCAAGTGAATGGGGCCATGCCGCAACCATGCTGCAACCTCATGTGAAAATGTAGTTGTGGTACGGTGAGGTAGAATTTTGAGGATTAAAACATATCAGCTCTTGACTGCCTGCCAAGTGCCTTTTGAAAAGTAATCCACAGTGGATCTCGTTTTGGAGGAGTGGCCACATGTTCACATGTGAGGTTGGGGGGTGGTAAAACCCTGCAGTTGAGCAATGAGTCTACTGCCTCCAACTGCTACCCCCTCTAGCTGCAGGTGGCTCTTCAGAGAGCACCACACATGTGGAGTCCTTGTTCATTTACAGTTAGGCATATACAATGCTGTGCTCTATTTTAAAGAGATATTTCTTCCTTTTGGAATGATTATCTTTGAAGCTGAACACAAAAAAACTTTCATTAAATATATTCCTCAATAACCACAAAGGGTATAAATTCACTTTGTGTGCACCAAATTCCTTTACAAAACTTGATATTAGTTTTGTAAAAGGAGCAATGACATCACTGTGTGGAGCAGAGCTGTAGGAGGGACCCAGCAGGCTCCACCCACTACATGCTGACTGCAGAAAATGACAGGAGGGGGCGGAGACAAGACCAGTCACCCTGCACAAGGAGAGAGAGCAGCAGTGAGCGGTCTTTATTACAGATGGAAAGTCTCACACTGGATTACTGCACAGATCTGGAAGAAATACACAAAGCACACCAAGATTCAAGAAGAATACACAGGATGGATGGATTTAGGCAGTATTTTCTTTATTTTCCCAGGGTCCATCTTTAAAGAGGCAGTGGGGTTAATATACAAAAGAAGTAGAGCATGTTCACTTAGTGCAGCAAATTTTTAGATACAAAATAACATTACAAAGCATACCCAATCATGTACAAAAAAAAAAAAAAAAAAAAGAACATAGTTGGATGACTGAAGTCAGCATACCTTCACCTCAGTTGCTAACATAAGTAAATGTTCTCCTTGGGAAATTAAGTGTTACTTATCTTGAGGAATGAAGTTTTGCTGATTATAATTATCAAACCATGAGTGAGCAAAAATCAAATTTTTTTCTTTTATTTTTTTAATCTTGCACATAATTGGGATAGTAATAGTATAAATGAAAATTCACTTTGCATTGCTATTGACTAAATATTATAACGCTTATTTTATATATATATATATATATATATATATATATATATATATATATATATTACACACACATATATTGCTAAAAACATTAATGACATCCCAGTCTTAGTCCGTAGGGTTCAATATTGAGTTGGCCCCGCCCTTTGCAGCTACAACAGCTTCAACTCTTCTGGGAAGGCGTCCACAAGGTTTAGGAGGGTGTCTATGGGAAGGTTGGACCATTCTTCCCGAAGCACATTTGTCAGGTCAGGCACTGATGTCGGGGGAGGAGGTCTGGCTCGCAGTCTCCGCTCTAATTCATCCCAAAGGTGTTCTATGGGGTTGAGGTCAGGACTCTGTGCAGGACAGTCAGGTTCCTCCACCCCAAACTCGCTCATCCATGTCTTTATGGACTTTGCTTTGTGCACTGGTGTGCAGTCATGTTGGAATAGGAAGGGGTCATCCCCAAACTCTCCCCCACAAAGTTGGGAGCATGAAATTGTCCAAAATATATTGGTATGCTGACGCCTTAAGAGTTCCCTTCACTGGAACTAAGGGGCCAAGCCCAACCCCTGAAAAACAACCCCACACCATAATCCCCCTCCACCAAACTTTACACTTGGCACAATGCAGCCAGGCAAGTACCGTTCTTCTGGAAACCACCAAACCCAGACATGTCCATCGGATTGTCAGACAAGCATGATTGGTCACTCCAGGGAACAAGGCTCCACTGCTCTAGAGTCTAGTGGCAGCGTGCTTTACACCACTGCTTCCGACGCTTTGCATTGCTCTTGGTGATGTAAGGCTTTGAATGCAGCTGCTCGGCGATGGAAACCAATTCCATGAAGCTCTCTACGCACTGTTGTGCTAATGTGAAGGCCACATGAAGTTTGGAGGTCTTTAGCTATTGACTCTGCAGACAGTTGGCGACTTCTGCGCACTTCAGCATGCGCTGACCCCGCTCTGTAATTATGTGGGCTACCACTTGGTGGCTGAGTTGCTGCTGTTCCCAGTTGCTTCCACTTTGTTATAATCCCACAAACAGTTGACCGTGGAACACCTGAATCCAATGATTTGGAGGGCTGGCAATATGGCAATTACTTTTGGCAATATTGTATATATAATAGTATATATTTCTATAATTTCAAAGATAGATAGATACATGGACAAATAGATTGATATACTATAACTCTGTAAATTTAAAAAATATATATATACTGTATATACTGTATTAACTATTACATTTGAAATGATAAAAAATACACACATATATCTTTTTTTTTTATATACACACACACTGTACATATGTCTTAGTGTATTGTCCTGTTATGTGTCTTTACTTTATTCATATTATATGAAAATTGTTTATATATATTTAAATTGCACTAAAATAAGACATGACTTCATTGAGCTTGATTTTGTATTTTTTTTATCCAGCCGCCTCTCACCCCAGACTAAATCCCGCCTTCTTTTGCTCTTTTTTCCAGGTCCTCGGAGAGTACATTGTGTCTGGGATTCCGTTAGCCAAAGAAAAAAGCGCGAACAGGTTGAAGCTGTTCATTTAAATGCAGAGGTACAAAGCATGACTTTTTGTAGAAATAATTGTCTCGGGCCCTCAGACAATTACCATCCATGCTAATTAGGAAAAGATTAATTCATTGTGCTTAGCAAGAGCTAAAAGTAACATCTGTTACCTCGGAACTTATCTTTTTTTCTTTTTCTTTTTTTTTTTTAACGTAAAAGGTTAACCGTGTTGTGGAATAAAAAATGTAGATTGTATCACATTTGTACTTCAGGAGTGGGCTGTTTCACTTAGACTTCTCAGCTGTATGAAGCTATGGGACTTGCTGGGAATATTAGTTCTCCAGCATCAAAGTGGAGAGAGTCGAGCACCACTCAGCTTGTGCAAGAATATGAATGTTCTATCTTAAAATGTAAAAAGCTCTGCAGGCTTACTTGTTAAAATTGTAGACTTGCCACCTCTTTTTTGGCTTTAAGAGACTTCCCTGAGGTCTGCTATTCACCCAAATGCTTGGCCGCATGCTGAAAATGTAAGCTGTCTTCCAGCTGCTGAGTGTGCATAACAATATCAAACAACAAAGTCCAATAGTTGATTGGATGTCTCCTATCACCTGTCGCCTGTACTTTTCCTAGCCAGAGATAAGTAACAGTTTTATTTAAAGTGGACCTAAACTGTATCTGAAACCACAAACTGAAACAGGGCCATATCTAGCCTGTCTAATGTGGGGGGTGCAGTAAGACAGGTCAGGGGGCAAAGGACGGGCGGTCAGCAGAGCAGCGAATAGGGTCAGCAGTTTGTATAGCAGCAGGGGCGGACTGACCATTTGGAAACTCAGGCACTGCCCGACGGCCCCGGGTCAGTAGGGGGCCCCATGAGATGCCCATGGTACCTTTTTCATAGGCTTTTTTGAGTTTGGGCAAGGACACAGGGGCCCCATGATTCCCTATTGCCCGGGGGGCCCCATGAGTTGTCAGTCCACCCCTGTATAGCAGTGTACAGATCCCATTAGATTCAGTGTACAGATCCCATTAAATTGAAGGGCAGTCTATAGGGGTCAGCATAGCGGAGGACAGGGGCCAGTAGTGAGTGAGGCAGAGGACAGATTAATATTTTGCCTAACATGGGAGGGACTTAAAGGGGGACTACTAAACAGATTTTCATATATAGTATATATATATATACACTGCACACATATACCACAGTTCTTGTACCACAAAATATATATATACTGACATTGTCATAAGTGACATTTTTCTCACATTTGTTTTTCTGTGATTTTTGTATTTGTTTAATAAACCCCAGAACGAAGGATCATTTTTTAGATATGTAAAACATTTCAATCACATATGCTTTTCTTCCACAAAAAATAATGCATTTGCCTCCTTCTGTTTCTATTATTCCAAGAAAACATTCATCAAAACCAGCAACTGTTGGGACAACAAACACTTTGGTCAAGACTGTGTAATGCACAACATCAAGGGTTCCTTCCCCTTCCAGTCTCCAGAGTCACCCCTCTACTCTAGAGTCTCCCCTTATGTCAGGGTCCCCCCAGCATCAGGGTCTCTAGAGTCACCCCCCTTAGTTTGTATCAGCATCTGGGGCTCCCCCTTACATTAGGGTCCCTAGAGTCCCACTGGCCTTACATCAGGATCCCCAAAGTTCACCCCCTTACATTAGGATCCCCAGAACCACCCACCTTACATTAGGGTCTTAAAGTCTTCTCCTTACATCAGGGTTCACAGAGTCACACCCCTTATGTCAGGGTAACCAAAGCAACCCTCTCTTACATCAGGATCCCCATAGCCCCCCCCCCCCCCCGATTACATCAGGGTTCTTAGAGTCACTGTCTTAAAAGGAGGGTTCCCAGAGTTTCCCTAGTTACATCAGGTCCTCAGAGCCCCCCCCCCCCTCCTTACATCAGGGTCCCAATAGCAGCTCCCCTTAAATCAGAGTCCCAGGAGTACCCCCCCTTTCATCAGGGACCCCAGATTTCCCCCTCCCAACATCAGGGTCCCTAGAGTCTCTCCCCTTACATCAGGATCCCTGGGGTTTCTGCTCCGTACTTCAGGGTCCCCAGAGCATCCCTTATATCAGGGCCCCAGAGTCCCCCATCCTTACACCAGAGTCCCCAGAGCCATCTACTTACACCAGAGTTCCCAGAGCCACCCCCTTACATCAGTGTCCCTAGAGTCACCAACCTGAATCAAGGTCTCCAGAGTCACCATCTCTTATATTATAGTCCCCAGAACCCCCCCTTCTTTACATCAGGGTCCCAAGAGTCACTTCCTTCAATCCAGGTCCCCAGAGTTTTCCCAGTTACATCAGTATCCCCTTACATCAAGGTCTCTCTCCTCTTTACAGTAGGTTCCACAGAGCCCCCCTCCTCACAACAGGGTCCCTAGAGTCACCCCTTTTACATCAGGGTGCCCAGAGTCCCCCTCCTTACATCAGGTTTCCCAGAGCCTTCCTCTTTTCAGCAGGGTCCGCAAAGCCACACCTGGGTTCCCAGAGCCCCTCCCCAATATCATAGTGCCCAGAATCATCTCTCTTAAAGGATGGCCCTCAAAATCATGTTGCAGAATACATTTTGGCCTAAATTTTATGACGAAATTTGATTTTTTACATTTTTTTACTAGACATATTTAAATAGCAAAAATGTCAAAAATGTTTTTTTTTTCCCTCAAAATTGTCAGTCTTTTTTTTTTACAATGCAAAAAATAAAAACGCACAGGTGATCAAATACAGAAAGAAAGTTCAATTTGTGGGAAAAAAAGGACGTAATTTCATTTGGATACAGCATTGCATGACCGCGGCAATTGTCAGTTAACGTAATGCAGCGCCGTAATGCAAAAAATGGCCTGGTCAGGAAGGGGGGGGGGGGGGGAATCCTTTGGAGGGCAAGTGGGTAGCCTGCCCGCCCTGGCCGCTTATACAGTTGTGTCCAAAATTATTCAACCCCCACTGAAATTGAGTGTTTTGGCCAGTTTGACATTGCTTTTGATCATTCAGTCATCTTGCTTACATTTACATTAAAGAGGCACTTGTAGGTCAGACAAATATAACATAACAGTTATAATGAAATAACCACAAATGTCTTTTCTGTGCTCACAGCATTATCAGTTTTATTCAACCCCCAAGTGACATTCAATCTTAGTACTTAGTACAGCATCCTTTTACAGTTATAACAGCTTTTAAACGTGAAGCATAGCTTGACACAAGTGTCTTGCAGCGATCTACGGGTATCTTCGCCCATTCTTCATGGGCAAAGGCCTCCAGTTCAGTCACATTCTTAGGCTTGCGCACTGCAACTGCTTTCTTTAAGTCCCACCAGAGGTTCTCAATCGGATTTAAAGTCTGGTGACTGCGATGGCCACTCCAAAATGTTCCAGCCTTTCCTCTGCAACCATGCTCTAGTGGACTTGGAGGTATGCTTGGGATCATTGTCCTGTTGAAAGGTCCAACTCCCAAGCCTCAGTGTGTGACGGACTGCATCACGTTTCCATCCAATATCTCCTGGTACTGAAGAGAATTCATGGTACCTTGCACACGCTGAAGCTTCCCTGTACCTGCAGAAGCAAAACAGCCCCAAAGCATGATTGACCCTCCACCATGCTTCACAGTAGGCAAGGTGTTCTTTTCATCATAGGCCTTGTTCTTCCTCCTCCAAACATAGCGTTGATCCATGGGCCCAAACAGTTCTAATTTTGTTTCATCAGTCCACAGAACACTATCCCACAACTTTTGTGGTTTGTCCACATGGCTTTTGGCATACTGCAGTCGACTCTTCTTATTCTTTGGAGACAGCAAGGGGGTACGCCTGGGAGTTCTGGCACGGAGGCCTTCATTACGCAGTGTGCGTCTTATTGTCTGGGCTGAAACTTCTGTACCCACATCTGACAAATCTTTTCTCAGTTCCTCAGCAGTCACACGAGGACTTCTCTCCACTCTACGCTTCAGGTAGCGCACAGCAGTCGAAGTCAGCATCTTCTTTCTGCCACGACCAGGTAGCGTTTCAACAGTGCCCTTTGCCTTGAATTTGCGAATGATGCTTCCTAAGGTGTCTCTTGGTATGTTTAACATCTTTGCAATCTTCTTATAGCCATTGCCCTTCCTGTGAAGAGAAATCACCTCTTCTCTTGTCTTCCTGGACCATTCTCTTGCCTTCACCATGTTTGTAACCACACCAGTAAATGTCTAGAAGGAGCTGAGTATCACAGTCATTTTAAAGCTGCCTAATTGGTGCTTATTATGCTTGATTGCTGCTCGGTGACATCCACAGGTGTTTTCAATACCTGATGGAAAGCACCTGTATGAACCTCTGTTCTTCAGAGTGGTAGTCTTTAGGGGTTGAATAATTGTGGCAATGAAGAAACCACATAAGAACCATTTACTACTGTATTACATAAACAATTGATGTCATTTTAGTTGCATTTGGGTAGTT